AACCATGATGTACATGTTATAACTTTAACTTTAATCCTTGAATCTGACCCAAGGAAATGTTGAAATATTGTTGATTCCTTATGAAGTGTCCAATATCATTTAGCTATTATTATTATTATTATTTGATATTTTAGTTTCTTAAAATAAAAAAAAAGCTAGCTTCCATTAAATGACACAAAACAAAGGGTGATAGTCTTAAGATCTTTGACGAAGGTTTGATCAACTTGGATTCTGTTCAAAATTACCAGGGGGGCCAAAAAGGAAAACCCCCGTCATTTATCCCCACTTGTTTACCTTTTGCGAACTGGTGATTAACGTCCACAGATGTTATCATATCCCCTACAATATAATGACGCCAAAGTCACTGTGTTATCTGTTTCTTCCTCCAAACTCCCACTCATCCCTCCCAAAGAGAAGTAAAAGAAGAATAACATCCAATGGCACTGGCTCATGGAACCGCAACAACACCGCTTATGTCCTCTCTTGTTGGTAGTACCTCATTTAAAGACCAGGGATCTCTTCTCCTCCGTCGCCGCCCGTACCCATGCCCGTGCTTGTCCACTTCTGGTAGCAAAAGCAGAAGAGAAGTAGCGGTAGTTTCTGCCTCTCTTTCTGCAGACTACAATTCTGACTCTCACTCTGTACTCAAAAACTTCCACCAGAAAAATGCCCTCAAGGTAATTGTATTTTTTTTATAGGACATTCCAAAGTTCAGGAGGACTTTGGGAGATCAAATAAGTTCAGAGGGTTACGTCTAAAACCCTCACGAACGGTTCGGTCTTTCAAGGATGAAATTAACCCTATTAATTGACTAATACGAGTTCTCATTGCTCGTCAAGAAATCATCGTGTAAGAATTATTTTACTTTAAATGTATTCCATCATGAATAACAAGTGAGTATTTAAGTGCGCAAAAGTAGGCTATGTAGTTAAAAATAACGGCATTACATGTTTTGCCTCGTATGAATTTAACTTGGATTATGAGTTGCACAATATATGCTTTGCCAGTGACTTACTTGGAAAGGACGGTAGGTGAAGTCCAACGTGAGACACAATATCTCAGGCTAAGAAGTAGAAAACGAGTTTACATGAATAAATTCTTCACTAGATCACAAGTCGGCTAAATCATCATGAAAACGTAAGATTTCGTAGATCTCGTGTGTGAATGCACGTGTTAAAGACACGACATCCAAAACCTGTTCGTTCCAAAAAATACAAACTAACCAAATTAAGCCAAGAATGGATGAATAGTTGGAATTGGCCCCAGTTTATTAATTAATTAGTGGTCCTCAACGCTAACCTACGTTTGATTGGGTTGTAATTAATATCCCTCTCTAATCAGAGGGGAGACTACGCAACAACATTCCGTTTCTATTATTTGTGACCAGTCGGTGATGTTGCATGATTTGTTTGGCAACATTTCGTTTCTATTATTTTTCTGTGTCTCTCTCCCTTTTCTCTTCTTAATTTTCATCGTGCTCCTTTAAATCATGCTAAGAATATCGATTCCTCTTGCATACGGTTATGGTGATCGAAGCCATCCATCATCATATGCACACGCTTATTTGATACGTTATGTATTGATTGATTATATTTAAGATCGTTGTTTATACTCCTCTACAGATAATCTCAGGACTTCAAAATTTTGACAAAGATAATGTTGCATCTGTCGTCATCGCTGCAGACAAGGTTTGAAGAAGCATATAGCCATCTTTCAATCGTAAATAATCTCCTAATTTTAAGTCGTTAAAATTATTTCACTTTTATGGTTTACGAGCTAATCATTGCGGGGTTAACATGTATAGTTCTCTCCACTAAAAGTTTTTTTTTCCTTTCCTTACCATGCTTTGGTATTTTGATTGGTCCTTAACCCGTCAATTGATATTTTCAGATGTTTAAGAGATACGTTTCAATTTTTATAATGGCAGGGAGGTGCAACTCACGTTGACATAGCTTGTGATGTAGAGCTGGTGGAACTTGCTTTGAAGTTAACGTCTCTTCCGGTAAGCGCTTATTAGAACATTGGATGTCAATTTCTTAGCAAAATATTTCTACAGCGCAGAGCATTGATGTTTAGATTATTTTGAAATTTTAATTATATATATATAAAATTATAAATATGATCGTTCTTTTAGGTAGGTACGTACTAAGTATCCGCTTGCAGCAGTAGGCTTGTATCTCAGAATCTAATCTTTCGAAAACTATTCTGTAGAATGTGCACGTGAGTTGTCTAGATATGAATAATTCATCGATCTCAGGAGGCAATATATGTCCAAAATACTCATCACCAAAGAAATCAACAGAAAAGTATCTAGCGATCTTGTAAGCAATGGCAATTTTCCGGCTTAAACACCATAATTTGTCCTCTTTCTCACAATTCTCTCTTTAAGTTATCCACTGATGGGTATCTTGACTATATATTATGTTATTGTTGTATAAGAATATTCATCTTGGTAGAAAAATGAAAACAATGATGGGAACTTTTATTGAAAGATAATGTTATGGCATACATTTTCATAGTGGGCTAGTCGTAGGAATTATAGGTAAGTTCATGATGTTGCAAATTGTTTCATGCGTGCGTCGCATGCCTTAATTACTACTAAATGTTGTATTCTTGCCAGATTTGCGTCTCTTCTGTAGACCCAGAGGCATTTCTTCCTGCAGTGGATGCTGGTGCTCAGATGGTTAGATTTCAGACCTCTGGTGCACTATTAGCTTGAATTTTCCTGCGGAATTCTTTCATACTAGTCAAGCATAAAATCATAATTAAGTTGAGTTCAATGCAGGTAGAAATTGGAAACTATGATTCCTTTTATGAAATCGGCAAGATATTCTCTTCAGAACAGGTATAAATGATTGTTTCTTTCATCTGGTTCAATCTATATAGAATCATCCTCTGTGAGCGTAGACATAGATGCTAAAATGTAAAATAGTAGCATGTTTCTTCAATCTTTCTTCTTGTTTCTTAATTACCGCAAGTGTTTCATGTTATGCGCACATAATAGTTAATCCTTTTCAAAAGTACATCTTCTTCTCAAATTCTTCAAGATGATCTTATACCTGTAGATAAGTCATCAAATTCATAATCGCATCATCTCAACTGGAAAAATTTTCAGATACTAAAGCTAACTCGGGAGACGAGAAAGATTCTTCCATCCATTACGCTATCAGTGACAGTGCCTCACACATTAAGTATCCCTGATCAGGTAAATAAATACTCAAGCTGGTTAGAATACGCACTTTACAATGTAAATCAGAAACAGTTCTCACGGTTTCGGTATGGGCAATAACAGGTGAAGCTAGCAGAGTTACTGGAGCTTGAAGGTGCTGACATTATCCAAACTGAAGGAGGAAAATGCTCTAGTCCTTCAAAGCCTGGTGTTCTTGGCCTCATTGAGAAGGTATTGCGTGTCTCATGTAGTTCCTTAATATGGACTAGGCCTAGGGGGAGATAGTTCATCATATTTTTTAAAGTAAAATTCAGAGAGAAGATGCCTCTGGATTTCTTTTATTTGGATTACAGGTGTGGAAAATATTTGTGGACTTTGATGTGAAGTTCAAAAACCGTAGTATAAAATCATAAAATGCAATTGAAAACCCTGTGTAAAAAATTACGGCGATAGTTTCAGGTCTGACATATACCAGCACTTTGAAGTGCAAACAATATTGAACTGCATTTTGTATGTTAGTATATCTGACTACTAATATGCTATATTGAATTAATAGGCAACACCGACTCTAGCTGCAGCATATTCGATTGCTCGGGCTGTCAGGATTCCTGTTATGTGCTCGTCTGGACTGAGTGCTGTTACTGCTCCAATGGCTGTATCTGCAGGGGCAGCTGGTGTTGTATGTATCTCCCTCTATGTCCAAATTTTCATTTTCTTCTAAATAGAAATCCCAATTGCGTCAAGAAAATCAAGTAACTAATGAAAGATTTGCGTAACTTTATATAATAACTGTCTTAAACAAAGAACATTGTGTGTCCGGGTATTCTGAAACACAGGAATGATGTCGCAGATTCAAGTATGAAAATGCCAAAAAGAATTATTGATTAAAAAAATACGACATAAATATCTGTCAGTTGTTTATCGAGTCAAATTATTCGAAGAATGTAACATGCCATCCAATAACATGACCTTGCGTATACAACACATAATTAAGCAATATTCTTTTCTGATAACGAAGCTGTAAATTCTAAGCATTTTCGATTATGAGACAAGGTCTCATTTTGTCTCTTTTTCATGGTAATTTTCCANTGGCAATGATCGCAGAGGTTAGAAGCATTGCTGACTCGCTGAATCTCTCAACCACGCATCCTGTTGAAGATTCAAGACCAGTTAGGTTACAATACTGATGTGTTAAATTCAGGATAAGAAGCTTGGAGCTTTACGTAACAAAATTTACCTAGATGTAATATATCTTCAGGAAATGAGATGTTTGTGTGATTTCAGAGGATAAATGTAAGCATGATTCATAAGCAAAAAAGCAGTTTGTTATGCTAGATCATCAGTACTTGTGAAGCTTTCAATAGTTTTTATCAATCTCTTCCTTAAAAAGTGTAAAAGGTGGATGTTCAATTACACCCTTCTATAAGTTCATGGCCTTGAGTCTGTCATCTTGACTTGGAAAGAAACTTGAGACACAAAGTGATGGTCTTGCTATATAAGGAAAGATCAATGTTCTCCAATAACATTACCAAACTCCAAGTTGAGGTGATGGTCTCAATAAAACAAGCCATTGTAACAAGATAAATAACAATCATCGGTCATTCATTAGGAGAGAAAATTGTCAGGGTTCTAATATACATGAGAGTTCCTTCAAATCACATTGTTTAATTTCTCGTTAGCATCTCTTCATCTATCCAAATTACTTGTACTCGTCATCAGATTCCTCTGTTAGCTCCCCAGATTCCTGCAATTAGTAAATGGCTGATTACGATAAGCACTTGCTTGGAAGAAAATAAAAAAGAAGGATAAAACTTGTTAGCTCGTTCAATCAAGAAAGGAAGATCAAAGCAACCTTTCTCTTATTGTAGGCTGCCAGGGCCTTCTCATATCCTGCTCTTTTCTCTGTAGCTATATCATAGTACTGGACCTTTTCCTAAAACAAAATGGATGAAAGAAATCAACAGCAGCAGCAAGTACGATATGATACTCGGAGTAACTTAAACAAATTCGGGGTACTAATTTGAACATGTGATATTTAGGGACCTATGTCAAAATACATAATTACGGAAGGAAAACTCAATACATATATGTAAGAGATATATATGAGGCATTTAGCAAGAATATGGTAGTTGTTAACTGAGGAGTTAACAAACTGATCCGGAAAGGGTTTCATGTAGCCTATCCCAAAACTTTGGGATGAAGATGAAGGATCTTTCCCGCCTACTTGTTGTTGCTGTATGAGATACTTCTACTTTAAATCTTTATCCAATTCTTACCACTATTTCTTGTTCAGTCTCATCTCTATTAAAATCATTCAAAGTTGCCTAATCCACCAGCGTAAGAGCAAGAAAGCTTACCAGTCTAAGCAGTCTTTAAGCATCCATACAAATTCAACACCTTTATATAAGTCATGTTTTTTAAAGTTTGGTCCAAACAGATGCATTAAACATTCCCAGAAGACGTCAACAATGCAAATAGGAATCTGCATGTGCGAGGAGTCAACAAATTTTTAACTAAGGTTGTCGGGTTTCAATTCAGCTAAAGTTTAGATTGGTCAAAGGCCACTATCCTTTAAGTGGATTTGGATATCAGCTAAATGTATCAATGAAATCAAGGTTACAGAAAGCGCTAGGCAGCCTAGGTGTTGGACCCGGCGCCTAGAGCCTAGGAGGGTTTCTTTTTTAATTACAATCAATGTTATCAAAAGCGCTAGGCACCGCTAGGTGACAAACTGACGCCTAGTGCCCAGGATTCAATTTTTTTTTTTTAGTGGTGACGAAGGAGATTTTGCTGAAGGTTGGAGGAGTTGGAGGAGGTGTTTGTAGTCATTGGAGGTGGCTAGAGGTGTTCAGAGGAGCTTAGTGGATGTGGAGCTAGCAACGGACAAAATCACAACCAAAGACCGAAATAATGCAATCCGCGGATGTTTCCTATCCCCTAAGTGCTCCCAAGACTTAGGCGGGTGGCCAAGGTACCACCTAGGTCTAGGCGGGAGCTTAGGCGGGCTAGGCAAGAGCTTAGGCGGGCTAGGCGGAAGCTTAGGCGGGCTAGGCGGAAGCTTTTTAAAACATTATTTAAAATCCACTTTGATTGATTCAAAAGAAAAACCAAAGGATGTCAACCAAGAATGTGGCCATATGCATAGCCAAATGAGCTTGAGCTTGCACATGCATAAGCTAGCACATAGCAGAAGACTCATCATCATCCATGGTGTCTGAAAACATAAAAGGGCAGGAGGAGGAAAGGAGCAAGGGAAATTTTACTGTCAATGTTTAAGGAACTTAAAATCATTATTTTTATAATTTTTCAAGTGTTATTTTAAATCTGAAATTGAATAGGTGTAGACACCAAAATTTATAAAATCAAAATATAATAACAAAAGAAATCAGTACTCAGCCTCGTTCTATGTGCTGCAATTTGCAGCAACACCCTAGTAATGTAAAATAGATGAAGTCTGTCCCTACAAAACATAACACGTGCTTATGAAGACAGAAATAACTTTAAGACTAGGAGGTTGCTATGTAGAGAAAGCAGAATCTCAAATTTCCTTGAGCTCTTTGCCTTTATAAGTCATTATATAAGCATTTTCTTTCAATTGAACAATTCAGAATTCATGGTATGTAAATTCTTTCATCGTCTGACGAGCCTGACCATGTTACTTCCAAAGCATCCAATCTTATGTTGCTTCCCTATGGATATGTAAAGTCTATGAAACAAAGATTTAGAAGAAGAGCAAAAGAAAAAGCACATTCTCACTATTGATTATTTATTGTATGCATCTTCAGAAATGAACATGACAAGTATAGACAAGCAAAAATTAAGCATTGTGTAACTGAAATGCTAGAACCAAACCTCGAAATTCATGATTTTCCACTTGTCACCACATGCCTTCCCAATCTGACAGAGAAACAGAAGGATCATATTCATGAAAAGAACAAACAACACCACTTCATACGCATGGAAAGAGCAAAAGAATTTTATTTCTTGGAAAGAACAAACAACACCAATTCACATACATGGAAAGAACAAAAGGATTTTATTCAGATACGAGAATTTTAAGACTCAGTTCGTACCTCACGCATTGATTTCACCTCTGGATGTTCTGCTTGATATATCTTCCTGAAATCTTCCCTTCAAACGTGAACAAGATTTTAAAATAATAAGCTTTGTTATAAGTTTACAAATTCTCTATAAGTCAAACCATTTTAAGTAAGAGAAATCGTTTAACAAATACCAGAGGCTGCTTAAAGAAAGAAACAGATTAAAAAAAGAAAAGAAAAGAAATTGAAATAAGATCCTACCTCCCTCCCTCCTTTTGATATTAACTTCAGCAGTGAGATTTAGACTGTTGTATTTGTTATATGATTGATGTTCTATACAATTATGTTAATCTTATGTTCATATGTCACCTGTGTAGCTCCCTCCATCCACCACTCACCCCTGATAACCCCCTCGCTCCGCAAATGCAAAAAGTGGACAGATTAAATGACAAGTAGACAAATTAAACTAAAACATAGATAAATCTATCCCCCTTTATATAAATTATATTCCTTTAACACAAATCTATCCACATTTGTTGCGAAATTGTCAACTTTTATTACAAATCTATCCACCAGAATATGAAGTTATCCTCCTCTGAAATAAGTCTATCGACATTTGTTGTAAATATGTCTTTTGCTACAAATCTACCTATCTTAGTATAAAAAACATTGTTTTCCACTACAAACTTGTCTATATCTGTTGTAAATGTCTATCTTTGTAGTTGTACAAATATATCTAATTAAATATTAAGTCATTTTTCTTTGATACAAGTCTATCTAGAGTTGTTGTAAAAACTACTACACTTATTATAAAGTCTAACATAATACGGAACTATTTTCCATTGGTATAAACATATCTACACTTTAAAAGATGGGCAAGGGCGGGGCCGGGGTGGGCAGGGAGTAATCATCTTAAATATGAAATATCATAAAGCCAATAACCAAGGTTATCGATAGCGGATAGCGTCGCGTAGCGGTGAGGCACCGCTAAGGATATTTGAGGCTACTACGGCAAAATCGCAAGATCAAATAGCGCCTAATTTAAATATGCATAAATATTAAAAAACTAAAGAAAAAACTAAAAATTTGAGAAAGATTAATTTTTCTATCCATGTGAATTGTATATATTTTAAACAAATTTCAAATTAATTTGTAAGGTATAAAGATTAAATTTGAGAAATTACATTACTCTCTATCGCAACCGAGCCCAACAGAGGATCCCAGTGGAGGGAACACCAGAGATGGTGGAGTTGGTGGAGGGAGCTTTGGAGATGGTGGAGGCATGGGAGGAGCTTCAGAGATGGTTGATGGATCTTTGAAGATGGTGAAGGCTTGGAGGAAGTGCTCGAGATGGTGCAGTAGGAGGAGGACCTCAATGGATTTGGTGGAAGAAGAACTCTAGGAAGTCGCCAGAGAGGTCCTTTCTTTGAAGGAGGACCTTAAGGAAGGAGGACGTGAAAAGGAGGCAAAGAGAGAGAGAGAAAGAGTGAGCAATGAATCAAGACCCGTGGGTATTAAAATCGAGTCAAGTTGGGTTGGGTTGATAATTAATGGGCCAGGTTTCAAATGAGTGTTATTCAATAGCGCTACGAAGTGCTAAATAGCGTTTTTGAGCGCTATGGCATGCTATTCTTTGCTATTATGAGAGAATAGCGATTTCACCCGCTCACTGTTTTAAAAAACTTCCGCCTAGTCCGTTTAGACGTTCGCCTAGGCCTAGGCGGTACCTAGACCGCCTAACTAGTGCCTAGCGCCTAGGTGGTATTTAGGCTACCCACCTAGATTTTACGAGCGTTTAGGGGAGCATTGTCTGCTTACGTGGATTGCACGCTGTAGACCTTGATTGTGATTTTATATGTTGTAGCTTACACGTCCTCCAAACTCCTTTAACCTCCAAATATGAACACCTCCACTACCTCCTCCGACCTTCAACAAAACCTCATCAACCACTACTTAAATGAAGAAAGAAATCCGCCTAGACACCAGTCCGGCATCTAAGCTTTCTGTAACATTGACATTCACTATCAATTATTGTAATTAAAAATAAAAAAAGAAAATATCTTAGGCTCTAGCCTTGTTAATTATTATTTTGGCGATTTAGTATCTAAGTATGCATGATTTATTGAGGAACTAAAATTGCTATCTTTTTTTGAAAATTTATATGAATTTAATACATATTGTAATTTGAGTTGAGATGAACTTATAATTTGAGTTGAGAAGTATAAACATACAAAGAGCTATTGTAATTGGTAAACCAAGCAATTTAGCTAATAGTGTTGGTATTTTAGTATTTATTTATTTTTGATTGAGTATATATATATATTTATTTTTAAGTATCACAATTAAAAAAATAAAAAATAAAAAAAACACGCAGAAACCGTTTAGACGCCCGCCTAGATGACTAAGCGCTGAGCGCCAAGTCCGACGCCTAGAAGAGCCCATCGTTTAATGTAACATTGCACCCGCTAATTGTCACCGTAATCGTCAATATCCTAGCGACAAGCGCCGTTGACGTTATCAAATCTACTATTGCGCCGCTATCAAGCGCTATTTACAACAATGCCTATAACAATATTGGTATATATTCAAAATGTTTTATAAGCAAATTAAAAGTTGCTCCTATTGAGGATAAAATGAGAGAATAGACTAAGGTGGTTTGGTAAACTTCATAACAAACCGGTTAGGAAAAGTAATAATATCATAGTTAATGGTTAAAAAAATAAACATAAAAAAATAGGATTCATGTAGTTGAACCCAAACATTTAGAATAAAAACTTTGTTGATGCTGCTACTGCTGTTGTTATCAAAGATGTTTTATAAATAAAGATCAATGTACATGATATTAGAACATACAAAACAAGTTCTGTATGCTTACAAAATGGATTCTCCTATCCTATCCTTCTTCATCCAGAGGTGTCATACTCTAGTCCCATCACTAGCTTCTACATACATAGGTGACAAAGAAAATTCTTGCCTGCTCAATCAGAGCATTAACTTGGCATGCGTCAACTCAATCAAAAGCTAACACGTCACACTCATTAATCTCAGTCAACTCATTTAAATTCATTAAAATATTTATAAAATTATTTGAACTTTAACCATGGTTAGATCTGTGTGGGGGTACCTTCTTGGACCACAAGTCCATTATATTTGTACCACTTATTCACTCTTATATTCTACATTTTACCAAAAACCACGTTATCCTCTCTTTCTCTTGCTGTCAAATCCAAAAAAAATCATTTGTTCATAATCTTGTGCTCTCAAGTAGTACTGGGTTCTGAAGGTTTGTTTATTACTTTTTTTTTCCTTTATTTATCTCTTTCGCTCATTCTTTTACGAATTTCTTAATTGCTTGAAGTTCTTTTTTCTTTACTTTTTTTTCTTTATCTTCTTCTTCTTAATGTAACATTAAGAGCATTACACGTTTCACTTTCAAAAATTGACAGCTCTCAAATTTTTTATGATATGAATGTAATAAGTAACATTATTTATCGAAGCAATATGTTAATGTATTCTCTGAGAATATTATACACATGACAAGAATACTTAAAAGGAGGAAAAAAAATAAGAACACTAATTACTCAATGGAGGGAAGCACTTTCATGGAGGCACTCAACAGTAGAGGAACCAGACATAAGGTTTTTTTTTCTTTTCCCTTAAAAATGGAATACCTAACACCAATATAATCATATTTAATTATCAATTTAAAAATGTATTCCAGATGCACCAAATGGAAAATTTTGAATTTTGACCTAATAGTGGTGTAAATGGACAATAAATTTTTATGGACATAGAAGAAGTTGAGGCTAACCGAGTTTCTAGTGCTTTTAATGTTGTAATTTTTTCATGTTGAATCAAAAGGCTTATGGGGACAAATCGTCCATAATGAAGAAGAAACATATCAAGAATTTCTCAATATCCATTCTCTCATTCCTTGCTACAATTGTTTTCCCTCCTCTTCCATCAACTCCCTATCAAGCAATAGATCATTTACCAATAGGCCACATCTAAGAATGAGGTGGCAAGAAAGAGTTCTCCACAAACCACTAAGCATCATGAGATGACAAAGAAGATTTATGCTTACTAACAAGGATTAATTATCCAGGTACAAATTAATTATATTAGGTCTGAAAACACAAGCGCTCACATTCCACACCTACGTCCACGCGTTCACACATGCAAACACACATACATGTACATATGCCAAAACCCACACATTCATCAGAATATGCACTCACTCATGCAATCATTGTTTTAAATATCCCCGACATAGCCCGATATATCCCCCAATATATCCTTTTAAGGGCTTGCCGCAATTGATATGGTCTCTAAATATCCTTTACCGTTTTTTTGCTATTTTGGGTGATATATCCCCGATATGGCCAATATATGAGTCGATACGTGGACCGATATATCTTTTTATATGGCTTGTCACAAAACATTATACAATGTTATAATGTTTGACAATAATTGGGCAAGATATCATGATTTCCTCATTAAATCAAATGACACTTTACCCTAAAAAAATCAGACCAAATGTTGCAAAATTGATTTATACTTTTGTTTATTTTACAAGGTTAATTAGTGATCCTAAACATATATTATTCATATTTTATATGCTTAGATTTTATTACATATGTTGAGATTACATTTAGTGCATTATACTATATTACTATATATGCAAACATTAGTTATGACATTCCTATCCCTGATATTTCCCCGATATCCGCAATCTGATATGAATTTTGGTCATCCGATATTTCCCTAATATCTGATATCTAAGACCTTGCATGCAATACACACATACATGCACATGTTCATGCACATTTACACACCTATGTGTACACATAAATTAATGCAGAGACGTATACGAACATATAATTTTCACTCATATCATGAATTACTATCGAACATACATTAATACTTTCATAATCCGTATTGTGAATCTACGACGCTAGTTAAGTAATGAATACTGTGATATTTATGCAATACTATGGACAATTAAGAAATAAATTAAAGGTATTACACTTGACACGCTATAATATAGGATCCTAGAAATCCTTAGGTTTTTGTTGGATGTTATTAATGTTT